TGCATTATTTTATAACCTAACTATTCCCACTACCTTTGGGACCCTATGAGATCAAGTTTACACATGAGCGCCATACCCATTCGAATCAATTTTCAATTTACTTTTTTTTGCACCATAAATTTGTAATTCCTAATAACCGTTTTGGGCCGTTAAACGATGTACTATATCTTCTGGGCAAGCGGTCGCAGAGTTGTATTCTATACCTTGAGTCCACGTCGTGCATCTCGGAAAAATGAAGAAACATTGAGGAAGATGTGGTAGCCGACCTATGTGAAGCTGTGAGGGACTGCTAATAGAGAGGAATCTTCAGCCCCACCAACGTATTTAGTTTAGCTGTTCTCTGAATTATAATTGCAGCGTCTGTTCACCAGAAGTGAGGCTATGAGTGAGGGTGTCAGTTTTGACAATTGCGACACGCTAAATAAATGTGTACCAGTGAAACTAAAGTTATGATGCCGACCACGGCAAACGCGCTAAAGACTGCAATTTAAAGGCATATAGTTAGATGTCGGAAAGTTCCACTATCCAGTCTGTCTGAGCGGGTTGGGGAAGAATGTGAAAGTGTTATGTTAAGTTGAGCTCTCTTCTTCTCCCTGTCTTGCGCCAAATGGAAATACCAAGTGAATTCAGGTCACTCTTTACTTTTCAACCAGCGGATCCTGCTGCGATGACTGTTTGTTTGATGGCAGGAGATATTTCATATTGCCCTCGTTCACTACCAGATCCATTTGCTTCGCTTCTTTATCAAGTCTGGAGAAAGCAGAACTCACGGCTGGCGCGGTTGTTGAGCTTTAGGCATATTCTATAGGAGGCACCTGACGCTGCGCACACGCCAATCGATTACTCAGCAATGGAGCATGGATGGGAAGACGCAAACAGATCAGATAGACAGATATCTGATTTGGACCCTATGAATGTTAATTTCATTGCAAACAATAGGCACTCTATCCGTATTACTTCGCAAAACAATTCATACATACATATGCATAGTCCAGAAAGCAAAGCTCAAATAGCAGGAAGGAATTAGCTAGCGCCCAAAGTTATGCAAGGATTTACACACCTTGTGTAAGAACAATCGGTTGATATCCTCGGAAAAACCGTTGTGCAAGAGATAAGATGGACGGCGCAAGGGCGAACAAGGATGGTTACTCTTGATATTTATTACATCCTCCTTATAAGCGATCGCAAATTTTTCAATGAATTTTGATATTGAGTAAAGAATGGATCTTTGGCGCAGAAGTCAGAAAATTCCGCCCATTCGATGTAACCTCTCCAAATCATCTAGAGGTAGACCACCTCTTGGATTGAAATATAGTTATCTGTGATGCCAGACTATATATAAAACTCATCAAGCGACTTGGCAATCGCTGGATCTAAAGACACTAAACCAACTAGATCACGATGTGATAGAAGACAAGTCGTCAGTGTGGTAGATGTGCTGACTATGCGAGGTATTAGCAACGATTCCACATATGCTCGTATTTTAGCAGGTGAGATACTCGTCTGTACTTGCCTGTATGTATATATGTTTATCATACAGTATGTTGGACTCATCAGTCAATTTGAAAAAGTGGTTAGTTGTTGACAACTGAAACGGTGGCCCCGTTTTTGTGTGCTCTTGAATTTTTGACTTTTCGATCTTGGCTTTTCGAACAAACCTGGAACGTCGTTGAGGTCATTAAATAACTCCTGAGCGATACTTATTTTATAATCGGTATACTTGAATACTATTTTAATACGCAAAATTATATTTTTCCAAAAATTTTAATGAATTTTTATTCAAGCAAGTTTATCACTTAATAAAGTTTCAGTTTTTCTTAGTCCTTTCTCTCTTTAATGCATTCCTCATTCTACTTGTGGAAATCGCAAAGCCGCTGCTTTTAATTGCCTGCACAGCGAAAACTTCTGCGCTGTTTTATTGGTTTACTCAGACAAACAATTGCAGTTGGCGCTCTTTCCGTAAAAGCTGCCAACAACTTGCCAGTTATTTGTCGAGCCTTTAACAAATGTTTATCACCAAGAAAAATAGAACGCAGAAGAATAAACTTTTACGGAATTTATTATATGAAAAAGTTTCCAAGTTGATTTTTCATTTCGCTGTAAAAACAAATTGAGATGTGCTTAGAGCGCAGCAAGGGACAGCGAGCGTGTCGCATATCCATCATTGAAAACACAAAATGCAAATTGATTCCGCCTGAGAATTGAAACGACACAGTGACAGTCGGCGATGGGTACATTACAGCCGGAGTCAGCAGCTCACTTGCCGTCCGAAGGCAAACAACCGCATTGGATTACCACCTTAATTAGCATAATCTAATTTAAACTTGGCGCATCTTTCACACCCAACACCGATGCCGAAATCCGCCAACCGCCAGTTGATGCTAGCAAATTAAAACATTTACTCACTTGAGAGGGAGGTGTGCGGCATGTATGGAGTGGGTGTATTCCACAGCTGCCGTAACATTTCGTCAGTCGACATTGGTTCGTCAAAAGTTTATTTTTATAAGGGAAATGAAAAAACAATAAAAAACTTTTTCAATGCGAAAATAAAAGAGCGTCGAGTACTCAAGTGAGCCAAATTGGCTGGGCGCAGTACGTGTATGTACTCCGTAGGCACATTTATATACACCTCTATATTACTCCGTACAATGTGCAATGTGGTGCTGATGAGGTAGGCAATCAACGGTCGCAGCATCATTGCCACGAAATCCGTAGCGTAGTAACATTTAAATGAATTAAAACATTTTTGGTGTGACACAAGGCGGCATACCTTCGTACATACCTTTCGAGTTTTCATACATACGAGTACATACATACGAGTACATAGAACAAGTTGCGCTGGGGAAAACAATATTAAAACATTACAAAAGCACTTGTTCCCTAACAACACTTTGCACTTGTTTTCTACAGAGACTTCACTGGCAGTGGCCATTGAGAGTGACGAGGTGTGTCTACATATGTTTTCCTGTGTAGTCCATCGTTGAAGTTTTTAAAGTTTTTCATTGTGTTGTTGTGTCGCAAACATGTTGAATCGGTAATTGAAGGGTTTGACATTGTTTATAAAGTATATTTATATTTACAAATAAGCACGAACAAGTGTTAAATGTACTTACTAAAGCCACTAGTCACGGTGTTTAATGGAATAAATTTACCATACGTTCTTCTACAATTAGGAAGATACTATAATATATTACGAGATAGTGTCTGATTCAAAGCTAATATAATATACAATACATAGATAATCATTTAATTACATACATATACATATGTACATATATATAAAAGAAATACACTCGGGCTTGACATGTGCCCACCAGCTAACCGAGGTCAAGGGTGTGCTTTCGTTAATACTCATATAAAATGTATTTTCCCATCCACCGACTGCTTCAGGTAGAGCGGTATTAATTCTCGACGTTATGTTGCGTGAAGTGAGCACCAATAAAAATTTCATCAAGTCTTCCAAATGTGAGGCTCATGCATACTAAATTTGAGGCTACGAATTTCTTGATACCCGCCGCGCCAATAACACTGTCATACTGTTCACAGAAAAGGTGCCGCGAGTTGTGCTTTTCCCCCATTAGCTTATAGTACTTATACTTCGGAAATGCAATGTGGTAATCATGCGAGCATTTATCGGTATAAAAGCGTTAGCTTTACTTAAATCACTTCGACAGTTTCTTCTTATGTTTTTTTAGCTCTGCTGTTCAAGTCATCTCTAACATGGATTGCACCTAAGATGCTTTGTTGCTCTGTTCTTATCACGTTTACCAAAGTCCAGTGCCAGTTAATTCTTACCAACAGAACTTTCGTGGTTAGGATAGCGATGGAAGATTTCTAGTATAAAAAATAATAATATCTGAATAGTAGGCCTCTCCCAGTTCAATCTTCTCTGCACGCACAGTAACTTTTGGTCCGTATGTTATGGCGATATCCCATTTAGTAGTTAGGATTCAGCATGCCCACCTAAAAATTCAATGAAATATCCATACAATATCCAAGAAAAATATTGCAGCCCCCCATATCGGAAGCTGGTTAACGAATCAGCTCATCCCAGTCAGACTTGACTGAAACAACTGGTACTTCCTTAAAAATAATCAGAGTTGAACTACCTGAGTAGTATGGCGCAATTGGCATTTTGTAACCGCTACAACCATTTTCGATCGACCTATTCCTAGATATCTGATGTGCGCCTTGATAGTTTTCTAACAAATGCATGAATCTACAATTTATTCTAAGCCGCCCCCGAGCGGCCGATGAATTTTTATGCGCAGCTCTTATTTCATGTCACAAATAAACTCCGAAGGATTGACATTCCCTACTGAGGGGAAGTTTTAGAAGTTGGTCGGACCAGAACTCGAACCCAGTCCTTCCGAATGGCAGGACGTAATGCCAACCAATCGGCTATTGCGAGAACTGAGAAATAGAAAATATAAAATAAACATTTAAGGCTTTCTAAGGAACCTGTCCAATTTTTTTACTAAAATAAAGTTTTAAAATGAAATGAATCTTTATATATAATATTATATAACAATGAATTTAAAAATTTTAAATTGAATTAAAAACGCTTCTAATCCTTCTAATGTTCATTCTCAAATCATACCTCAAGCAAACGAATATGATGAGAATGAAGAATATTTGACAAGGCGTTGCAACTACTTCCTCCACCCACCATCCGCTGCGACAGTCCTAAGTACATAAATCTCTTGGCACATTTTATTGAAATCAAAAACAACTTAATACACAAAACAACCTGCTTTGCTCCGGTTCTCAGTTCTTAAGCTGCCACAGCTTATGGACTAAATTCAACACCCATGGGATGGGCATCGCCGACAGGTTTCCATTTATTGTCTAGCAAATTTCAAAAGTACACGAGAAGAACATTTAAATGTCGTTGTCTTACGGTTTCTTATTGTGTTTGCATTTCCGACACTTAAGACTTGCTGCTTTTTGGTGAAGACAAATATTAAACATCTACTTTCTTTTCTCATTCCTCTCTCCAGAGCTCACTTAAATTGCAGCTGCTCGACAGGCGGTCATGGCGGAGGAGCATCAACAGCAGCAGCAGCAGCAGCAACAACAGCAGCAGCGGCAACAGCTCTTACAACAGCAACAGCAACAACAAAAATGTTCAAAGGATACCACGACAACCAACTCGTCATCCTCCCCCACTTCACCCACAAATACTGCAACCACTACCACACCGCGCAAGTCGAATATCCATGAGATGCGCAATCAGGACTTTGTTAGTCGGCTGATGGCAGCCACGCCTCCCTACTTATACTCAACGCCAGTCGGTACTAACAACTTTTTCTTCAGTGACATGTTGCGCTCATTGGTGGCGGCACGCAACAACGAGAATGCCCGTAATCTACAGCTACAGCAGTCCATGGTGTTGGCGCGGAGACCGAGAAAGCGCACTTGGGCACACCACCGACCATACTATGAGCACTTGCGTGAACGCAAGGAGGCAGAAGAGAAACATCAACTTCACTTGCAGCAGCAGCAACAACAACAACAACAGCAACAACAATTAGGTACCAATGCCTCTTCCGCTATAGCGGGGTTGGAGAAGCCACTAGAACTCACAAATAAGCCATATTTTCATTTAGCCAATAAATACCGCAAATTGGAAGAAGAAAGCAAAGACTCTACAGATATTAAAATAGGCAAAACGGAAGTGAGCAACATTCCAACACCCGATTCAATTGCTACAACCGCCACCAGTGCAGTAAGTTGTGGTGGCGGCGCAGTTGAGGCTGTGCTGCAGGACACCCCGCCGGCTGCTTCGTTGCCTCCGCAAGATTTGGTTTTGCCACCACCACCACCGGTCTGGTATCCTCCACTCTATCCACCTTATGGTATCGATCCACTCCACTTCTTCATCGATTTACGCGTCTCAGGCCATATTTACGATCGCAAGAAAGAGAACATTTCGCCACTCACGAGCACAGATAATAGCAATACGGCCAATGATTCAGAGACAGTCACTGGCAATGCATCTGGTGTTAGCTTATTGAACAAACATCGGCAGGGTTCGGCGTTTACTGTGCCCGTGCCACGCTCCAATGATACAAAACCAACGGCCGGTCATGCATTAGACGCGATCAATCTCTCGTCCTCTGCTGTAGCTAGTAAATTTGAAAGCTACGCCAAATATTATGACTTGGGTGAAGCTAAAGAGAATCAACCGTTAACTAAGGGCAGCGCCAACTACATGTTACAACATTTACCGCGTCTTTATAGTCAATTTGCAGCACGTGATCTCCTTGGATCGAATCTAGCTGCGGCTGGTGGTGGCGGCAGCAGTAACAGTTTTGATAATGACAATAAATCTGAACCCGACTGTGATGGTGATTCTGATGGCGCCGCCTCGGTAGATAACTCTATGAGCCTAGGAGGTAATAATCGCGAGCGGGATGATATCGATGTCGAAATAATCGATTCCATAAAGTATCGTACCGATGGTGAAAGCAGCCGCTGCTCGAGCGCAGATGATGCGTCAATCACTCAAATTGATTAAACAACAATGCCAAAATATATACTTAATAATAATACACTAAGCATATCGAATTTATTAAAAATAAATCATAATTTTGAAAAAAGAAAACGAATAGTACTAACTCATGGTTGAAAAGAATTTTGAAAGCTTTCTCACACCGAAATATTTAAATTGTATAAAACTACAACCTTTATCGGCTTTGACGTAGTCCTCTCCTTATCCTTGCATTTCCTGCAACCCAACCTCGGAAGCATGTTTTGAGAAACTTCCTATAAGACATTGACCTGCTATGACACCCATGTGATATACAAGATATATACAAAAGAAGGCTACGACAGCCGCTGACGCCACCGAATCACCTTCGTGATATTTACAAATGGCGGAACTTGATCTTAATATTGTCAAAATATATTCTTTTGACTTAAAACTATTCTTTTTACTAGGCACCAATTGGAAATACCAAGTGCAGCCAGGTCTTTCTCCATCAGATCTGTCCAACATGGTCCTCCACTTTCTCTGCTTCCACCGGCTGGTATATTCTTATCCATCCGGACCACATGACCGTTCCATCGGCCGCGTTATTTGGCATTCCTAACTCATTCTCTTCAAAATTGCCAACCCCGACTCGTCAAATGCTGCCAAAGAACATGCCACCATGACTTTACTTGATGGCAAGAGTGATTTTGCTATGGATCTCAAGACTGACATTGTGTTGGTGTTAATTCTGGCCCTTTATACAACGTTATGACTGTCGGCAGAAGTATGTTGATCGCTATTGCGATAACTGTTTATTTGATCCAGTCTGGAGAAAGCAGAACACACGGCGCGGTTGTTGAGACCAATGATGTCAATATAATCGGTATACGTCAGCAGTGCAGCTCGTTTTATTTTTCCAGCAATAAATTAAAGAGGCGTCCCCAGTAGCCGAGTTGTTAGCACTGCGTTCTACCATTCGGATGGCGGGCTTCAAATCCTGGTTAAGAAAAAATTCAAAAGTAATAGAAGATTAACTAAAAAAATTAAACTAAGTTTTCTAATTGCCGTCGCCCCTCGGCAGGGACTGTCAACCACTTCGAGTGTATTTATGACATGAAATAAAGGGTCCATATAAACTATAGGTCCCTCTATTTTTTCAAAAAACATCAAGACACAAAACCACAAATTGGAGGAGGAGCTCGGTGGAAAATCGCTTCAGCGGTTACAAAGTTCTGACTATATATATTGATATATACAATAAGTTAGAGCAGCCACACCATAAGGAATGGACGGATAAATATCAAATGGTTCTGAGAGGTCATTACCGATCCTGACGATGTTTCTGGTGTTGTCCAGCATCAGTCGTATAAGTTTTGCTGGGATACGAAATTCAGACATTTTGATGAAAAGGTGGTGTACGTCGGGTCTTCTCCAAGACTTGGAGCAAGATAAATATTTGGTCAATGGTTGATTTATCGAGTCTAAAGGAACACCGATAAGATCCAATCAGTTTGTTGAAGGTGGGAAGAGGAGACTTATCCCTCGGTAGCTGTCCCTTTTTGTCAACTGGGCAGAGCACACTTAGAATCAAATCGTCAGCGACTATTATTTGAATTTCTTAATGATCAGGTTATGAAACATCCATTCCACTACCATTGAATGGGGTTCGCCGTAAACGAGGTTAAATAATGTCATATAAGGAATAATTAAAATTGCAATCAGCTGTCTTTTAGTGTTCTAAGTGTTTACCTGTAAGTGAGATAAAGGAACTCTAAGATATCATAAAGTAAAGAACATTATTAACATAATCATCACATGGAAGTCCGGAAGCAATGAAAAAAACAGAGGCATACAACTGATTCTTTAAATCTGAAATACTTAGATAATTCCCCACACAATAAAATGTGTTTCACAGAATCAAAACCCTTAGAAAAATAAAGGTAACAAAGAGATGTTAAATGACCGGCTCTGAAACCGCTCTGTAGAGGGTTAAAGAGTTTATTTCTGTGGATGAAATCACCCCTTCGAAAGTCAAGGTAATATATTTATTCATTTTTACTAGAGTAGACACCGCTTACGAGATTATAGCCGAGGAGGTTTTCTTCTTAATCTGTTTCCATCAGCGGGTACTGCATCGAATACTATCAAGGCTAGAGTATTCTTATCCATACTGATCACATTACCTAAGCAGCGTAGCCGCTGTCTTTTAATTTCCTGAACTATGTCAATGTCGGCGAATATTGTTCCATCGGTTGCGGTATTCGCCGTTACCTACTATTAATTTACGCTAAACCTTTCTCTCGAAAACTCTTAACGCCAACTCATCAGATATTGTCATCGTCTATGCCTCCGCACCATATAGCAAGACTGGAATGATAAGCGACTTGTACAGTTTGGTCTTTGTTCGTTGAAAGAAGACTTTACTTTTTAATTGCCTATTCAGTCCAAAGTAGCTGCTGTTGGCAAAAGTGATTCTGCGTTGGACTTCAAGGCTGACACTGTTTTTGATGTTAATACTTATGGGCCTGAATTCAAAAACCAATGAAGTGCCTGGTGATAAAAAAATATGAAGCCGTTAAACAGTGATTGAGTATTGTGTCAAATAGCCGAAATGTTGGGCAAGATTGAATTGACAAACTTAATCAGAAGCCCGTCATTTGCCACAGCATTAGATTTGATATTGAAAACTTATGTTCTTACTTTCTCCTCACAAAAGGAATCAAACTGAAATCGCCCAAGGGAGTGAACGTCGGAAGACGAAGATGTGTTTGTTCTAGACATATTATTAGCTGAAGAAGCACTTAGCTCAATAAGATCAAGAGCAATGGACTTTTCGGAGCTTGACCGCACACTAATTCTCTTCGAAATTTGCCCCATTTTCCTCTGTTGGCCTTCTTTTCCTGACGTTGTTCAACTACTCTACTTAACCATGGACATAAGCGTGACTTTGTAACGTACTTGCGAATAGGCACAATTACAAAATGTGTTTTTTTTACTAACAAGTCGAGTTTTTCGTCAGCAGTTACCAGCTGCCAACCAAAATTCCAATGAAACCGGTTTAAATCTGAAAGCAACTTATCAAGTATAGTGGCTTCATAGTCGCGGTAAGAGAACGGAGTTCATCATATTTGTTATTTAATTTAAAATTGAATGAGCAAAAAATGCAATCGTGATCAGAGATGGGAGGTGTTTAGTCAAACAAAAGCACAGAGGTAGAACTTGGGACTACGAATAAGACATACAAGATTAACTGCATATGAATGGATGTGACTAAGTCTAAAAAAAGAGGGAAGTAAGGTCATCGAAAAAAGGCTGCTCATTCTGAAATCAGAATTCGTCTCTTTATTGGCATTAGCACAGCTTACGCGATTATAGCGAAATTAATTAGAGCGCTCCATTTCTTCCTTCTTTTCGTTGTTTGATTCTTCCAATTCCTCTGCTTCCACCAGCGGGTACAGCAATCGTATACTTTCAAAGCTTGGCCGGCTTTCCGCCCATTCGGACAACATAACCTAGCCAGCGTAGCCGCTGCCTCTTCATTCGTTGAACTATGACAATATCATCGTATAGCTCGTACAGCTCATCGTTCCATCGTCTACGGTATTCGCCGTTGAAAATACACAGAGGACCAAAATCATTCTTAAAACTTTTCCCTCGAAGGCTCCCAAAGCCGACTCATTGGCTATTGAGCGTTTTTTAGAGCTTGGTTTTCGTTCCCCGAGAGAGAACTTTGCTTCTCAATTGTCTACACAGTCCAAAGTAGCACCTGTTGGCAAGAGCGATTCTGCGTTCGATTTCAAGGCTGACGTTGCTGTTGGTGTTAATACTGGTTCCTAGATAGCCGAAATTATCTACGACATCGACTGATGACAGGAGATATTTCGTCTTGGTCTCGTTCACTACCAGGCCCATTCGCGTTGCTTCCTTATCCAGTCGGGAAAAAGTAGAACTCACGCGTTGTTGAAGCCGATAATGTCAATATGGAAGATTGAGCTCTGCAGCTCGTATTATTTTCTCCAGCAATAAGTTAAGAAAGCCGTTTTTGTGGATTGGGCAGAGTACACTTAGGTTCCAATCGGCGGGCATGCGTTCATCCGACCATATTTTGCATACAAGCTGATGGATGCACCTTGTCCACTCTTTACCGCCGGTAAGACGTGCTATTCGAATTTCGACATGGTCCGGTAGCGGAACGTCTGTCCCATCGACATCGATTGGGGTTTCAGATTCACCATCTCTGGGTGTTCTATTTTCATTGCCGTTCCGCCGGCTGGAGAAGTGATACCTCCATAATTTCAATATACTCGTAACATCCGTCACGAGACCACACCCTACACGAGTTTACTCCGGGCTTGAATTCGTAGAATTTCGAGCATTACTATTGTCGTCGTTCTTTGATGCACAGGGCCGGGTACGCACATCACGAAGTTTGGAGACATGTCCTTCGTCTATCACAACATGATCGATCTAGTTTTGGGTTTTTCGAACTGGAGACAGCCAAGTAGTGCTTCACACAACCATATTTCGGTTCCCGGAGAAGTCGATCGGCCTCAACCCATTTGGGGATGTTTTGTTGTGGATACTGAATATTCCGACAGTTGTGTGGAAGATACCTACTTTGCCCACCCTGGCGTTGAAGTCGCCTAGAAGAAATCTAGATTAGTTAATTAAAAATAACAAAAGAGTCATTTTTTGAAAGAACCTTCCTTTATTTTATTTAAAATGTTTTTTAAGTTTACCGAAAATGTAATAAACAAAAAATAAAGCGATTTTATCCAAGTAATTTTAAGGTAGGAGGCCTCTTTTTTAAAAAGTTAGGCAGAGCAACGTAGCTTTTATTATAAACCAGCGAGCCCGGCGAACTTCATTTCGCTCCAGTTTAGGACCTTCTGACAAAGCAAACTCATAAAGGTCAAATTCAACTATCATCAAGTAATTTGTTTTTGCTTTGGTGTGGTGATCATGAAAATTGATCGATTTTTTAAAATGTACAAACTCTCTGTTCACTCTTTCTTCTCTCAAAACACAATCAACAAAAAGTTTTTATTAACAATAACCGAAAGCCCTAGTAGCTGGTATTT